TCATTTCCACACAGTAGGACCTGAAAAATCTATGGAATTAATAAATATCCCAGGTGATGTTACTAGACAAGTTGGGAAGCTTTCAAAGACAAAGCACTGGACCCAAGCATCAGAGATGGCTTCTGCGACAGTTTTGCTACTGACTTGTGAGCTTGTACAAGTTTCTTAGTTTCTCCATCTTGAAAATGGATGAGGGCCGGGTGTGGTGGTGCACGCCTGTAATCCCAGCACTCGGGAGGCTGAGGCAGGAGGATCCTTGTGAGTTCAAGACCAGCCTGGGCTACAAAGTGAGCTCAAGGCAGCCTGAACTGCATAGTGAGACTCTGTCTCAAAAAGACCAAAAAAAAAAAAAAAAGAAAATGGATGAGGGCCGGGGATATAGCTTAGTGGCACAGTGGCTGCCTGGCAAGTACAAGATCCTGAGTTCAATTCCTGATACCAAAAAAAAAAAGAAAATGGATGATTTTGTAGTAAATAATTACTATAAGTCTTTCTTTCTATAATTCTGTACTTCTACAGATAGCTAAATTGCACTCATAAAGTAAAGAAGATTCTGTAGTACCAGTACCTGCATCTTAGTCCAAGGGATTTATTTGCCTTTCCTGTCTGCTATATTATTTGGTTCATACTATCATTTTATTCCAGGGAGATGCCTGCAGTTATTGAGCATTTACCCTGTGGTGGTCTGTTGTATTCACAGAATACATAGTGACCAATCGAAGATTCTAGACAGATGATTTGTAAGTTTAGAACTTGATCTAACTGATAAAGGCTGTATTCTGGGATGCTGTTCCTTGTCTTTTGGCTGTCTGAATCATCTTTGATAATATCCTTTCTGTATGTAGAGTTTTGCAAGATATATAATGCTTTTGTTGCATTTTCTCTCACGTTTCAAAAATTGCCTCTGTCACTAATAAACTAATAAACTAAATAAAATGTAAGTGCTTGCTGCTGCATGTCTGTAAGAAGATATTTTGCAAGCATATGTTCTATTTTGGTTTTATATTACTTATGAAATGTAAAATTGAGGAAGTAGAAAGTTATAGTTGTTATACTCATGACTTGGTTTATGTGACTTCCTTCTTTGTTAACTTTTTTAACTGATGATGTTATTGGAGCTAAGTTCTTGGGTCCAGAAAGGATAGAAATAAGACTGGACTCAAAGAAATTCAGGCACAGCCAAAGCTTTTTATTGTGACTATTGCTAGAGCCCAAAGGGATTCTCAGCACTGAAAAAGAGCAAGTCAAGCCAGCAGCTCCCTGAACAAAGGAGAAGGAGTGGCCAGTAAAGGAAAAGTTCCCACTAAAAGTTCCCATCAGATCTCCCATGCAAGTAAGATTCAGACTTACAGAGAGTGTCCTGCAAAGAAGCAGCTGTGGTGGTACATGTCTGTAATTCTAGCTACTTGGGAGCCTGAGGTAGAAAGATTGTAAGTTGAAGGCCAGTCTGAGCAACTTCGTGAGACCCTGTCTCAAAATGAAAAATAAAAAGGGCTGGGGATGAGCTCAGTGGCAGACCACTTGCCTAGCATGCATGAGGTCTTGGGTTCAATCTCTAGCTTACATAGAAAACAAAAAACACCTCCACAAAAACACTTGGAAAGAGTGCTGTGCCCTGCTAGTCTATTTCTGAGCTTAGTTGCAGGCAGCTCATTAGTGAGCTTTGATAGGTTAAGGGAGGTTTTCAGGAAGCTGACCCTTGCTTGCGTCTGTGCTCGTGGGCTGAATTAGTAGCTGTTTTTGTTTTTGTTTTTAACTCTAGCACTGTATGTGAGCCCTATGTCTTCATTTGTGTCCTTATTTGGTTCTGCTGTGAAGGCACAAAACAAGCACAATCCCTGTGGGGTCCTTTCCCAGCATTTGATTGTTCTGTCCCCTTTTGGGTCGACCCCAACTGTTGCAGTGTTACCACAGTTTTTATTCAGTCTCAAACTATCTCAGAGATTTGGCCCCCTGATTTTTTTTAATTCCACAGTTCTCTCATAGGCAAAGAGTTACCATGTGATAGGCAGGTGTGACCCACGCTCTTATGTATGATGAGCAAAGAATTGCAAGTACACAATCAAAAAGGCAAGTGAAAAGCAGCTGTATGTACTGAAGATCATGGGAAGTTGTGCTCAGGGCCAGTGTGTGCCAACAAAAAATATGGCACATACAGAAAAATGGTGTCGGGGTGACAGGACAGCAAAAGCACAGCAGACACAGCACACAGTGCAGAATACAGCACACAGCAGCAATCCCAGCATAAATCAGGCTTCGGGGTTTTAAAGGATACATGCCTCACCCCAGGTGTCTCCCATGAATCTCTGTGGTTGTGGTTGACAGGACTGATTATTATCTCAGGGATGCTCCACAAGCATATTTGTCCCAGAATTTACTATGTCTTAATTACATACATGACATATGGTACATATTTATGAACCCTTAATGAGGTTTGAGTAGGGTAACAGTGACTGAAGGTCAGGCTAGGAGATCCAAAGGGCATGTGCTTTCACTCAGAGCATCAGAGATCTCTTGAGTTATTGTGTGATTTTCTACAAGCTTAAGCCCAAAATTCATAACTGTATAATTATAAGTAATTCTTACTCATCTTTGAAGGCTCAACACAGTACCTCCTGTAGGAGTTCCAAACCCTCCCCCGTTCTATGAACAATCCCAGTGCCTGGAGTTTAATTCGTAAAACAGGAATAAAGACAAATAGTGTGTATACAGGTAAAGTTTCATCCTGCCCACAAAGTATAAGTATGGTAACAGCCTTAAAGCTCCATTGCAGTAAAGTTTACTGATATCTAAAGAAAGAATGTGCACTTTGAGTGTTATGGTAGGACCATACAAAAAAGTTACGAGTCAAAACGTCAAATCAAGCCTTAGTGGAAGTTTATCCATCCCCGTTGCCTGGTCCTGGCTCATCTAGAAGGATGTATCAGACTGACAGTTAATTCCTTTCAACTACCACACAGTGATCTGCTTAAAATATAATACACAAAGTAGTTTGTTCTATAGGAAGGAAAGATGCTGTCATTTCTCTTGTAAATAAGATTCGTGTACCAATTTTTTTGTTAGTGTCACTAAATAAATATGAAATATATTCATATTTCTGGATCATTAAAGCCGAGGACTAGCTCCTTCAGTATACTGACTTCACTGGGATAGTGTACGTTGTACCTACTGATAGGTAGTCAGTCAGTTTTTCTAGTGATAATTTCTACTCTGATGTATGCCAGTTTATACTGGCTTTGTTTAAAACACACTATGCAAATATTTTTCTTAGACTTCTAAAATACTAATATTCAGAATATTTGGATAAATTTAGATATTGAGCAGTCTGAATATAGTAATGTTTTCTGGCAATATTATGACCCACGATTTTAATTACCAAATACATTACTATAAGTTTGCTGGGCCTTCACTGTCCCTAACTGACCCTACCTTCACAAGTCATGGAACAAGTTTTGAATTTTGAGTTTATTTACAGTTAAATAATGGATTCGGTATTCAAAATTAAGGGATCTGCTCTCTTCCTGGATTTTTGCAAAATAGCAGCCGTTTGTGTCAGGGAATGTACCTGATTGTGTTTAACACTTTTTTTTTTTTTTTTTTTTTGGTACTAGGAATTGGGCCCAGAGCCTTTGCATTAATATACATCCCCAGTCCCTTCGCCTTTTAAATTTTGAGACATCTTACTAAATTGCCTAGGATGGTATCAGATTTCTGATACCATTTCTAACCTTCTGCCTCAGCCTTCTAGAGTGCTGGGATTAGAAGTGTTTGCCACCATGCCTGGCTTGTTTAATACTTTTTAAAAAAATCTGCAGAATATTTTTACATATAAGGTATCTGAGACCTGAAAAGGCTAAATAACTTATTGATGGTCACAGCTAGGGATCTAGCAGAGCAAATTTGAACCCAGAACTATGAATTTCCAAAAGCCCTTCTTTTACTAATGCAGAGCACATTTAGTTATATTCTTTTACTAATGCAGAGCACATTTAGTTATATTCTTTTACTAATGCAGAGCACATTTAGTTATATTCTTTTACTAATGCAGAGCACATTTAGTTATATTCTTTTACTAATGCAGAGCACATTTTATTTTTCATTTTTTGGTACCAGGAATTGAACTCGGGACCTTGTTTGCCACGCAGGCGCTTGTGCCACTGAGCCACATTCCTGGCCCAATATATATTTATTTTAATAATTACATTTTGTGGTGCTGAGGATCGAACCCAGGGTCTAGGTCATGCTAGGTGAGTGCTATACCTCTGAGCTGTGTGTCCCCCACCCGTTCTTAGACCCTTTTAAAAACCTGTGCAGCTCAGTTAAACAACTGTGTTACATTTATTTTGGATATTTTTCTTGTTTGGGGGGTTTTAAAAAGAAAAACATTAGAATTATCCATGTTATATACATAATTTATATAGTTGATTTCTCTGAGGTAATTTTTTACCTAGTTGTAACAACCCTTTCTCTTCCCTAATTTTTCTCTCTCTCTTTTTTTTTTTTTTGGTCTTTTTGAGACAAGGTCTTGCTATGCAGTTAGGCTGGCCTTGAGCTCACTTTGTAGCCCAGGCTGGTCTCAAGCTCAAAATGATCCTCCTGCCTCAGCATCCTGAGTGCTGGGATTATAAGCATGCGGCACCACACCCAGCTCTCTTCCCTAATTTCTCCAATAGTGTTGATTTATGCTCAGAATTTCTTTATTCGGTATTTGCTGTTAAATATGTGAATCTTTTCCCCCCATGATTATATACTTAACCATGTGTTTATGTGGTTTCTTTCACATGATTATGTATTGGACCATTATTCAACAGAATCCCCCACTGTTCCCCAAATGCACATTCTCCCTGTTCAGCAGCAGCAAGAAGCTGTGCACTGTTTTGTGTTGTAGGTGTGAATTGAAGGGTACAGACATTCCTGCTGCTTAGTGAGTGCACTAAGCTGTGGTCTGCCCTTACCACTAATGCCCTTACCACTAATGGTACCATGTTTTTGTGTTGCAGATGGCTGACAGCTAGCAAGGAAAATTCAGGACCATGATGGCTCAGTTTCCCACAGCTATGAATGGTAAGCAGCTTGTGCTTGTGGCAAGATACAGAAGACAGGGAAATTTTTGGTAGAGGTTTAAAACATTTGTGTAGGTGATTTTCCTTAACCATATAAATGCAGATTTAAAGTATTCCTCTTGAAATGTTGTCAAGCTTAGAATATTGCATATGTCTGTCCTCTGTTAGATTATGCCATAAACTCCATGTCTCTGTGTAAACATGTTCTGCTATGTTATTTAGAATGTGTGCTTGCCTTTGAACAGTTAAGAATAAGCTAAAGATACATTGTGTTTTATGGATGAAACTGGAGGACAAAAAGTAGAATCCTATCAGATGAGAATGAAAGGGTTTTCCCACCACAGGATGGCGGCAAACAAATGAAGCCAGTAAAGATATAATTTATATGTCTATATCTATCTATCTATCTATGTATCTATCTATCTACACACATAGATATAGATATATAAGATTGTTTACATTTGTAAAGAATTATGTGTGCTTACACATGTATTTGTGTAACATGAAAATTTTTAAAAGAAAATGTTTAGGTAATTTCAATGAGGAAAAATTTTTAAAGCTTTTGTTCCAATTGTGGTTTTAATCCCTTGTCCAAAACCAGATTAGCTACCCTTGATAGTTACTGAGTTACTGTCTACACTGTTTAGGATTGAGAAAATGTATTATACTTAAACCTCTAAACCAAGAAATCTAGATGATGATTTCTTAGTTTTGTGATGTTTTATTAGCTAATTATAGGTAAGTATAAGGTTGTCAAGAACTGAGTACTTTTTTTTTAATACTTAAATTGAAAATAGCAGTATTAAGAAATAACCATCCCACCACCTTCACAAAACAGTTGTTTTGATGTTACCATACAGTGTTGGATCAGTTGCATCTTTCTCCTCTAACTTGTTTCCACTCATTGAGCCAATTCAGCACATTGTTAATAAAGAACATACATGTTGTATATTCAAAGATTTAAGCCTAGAGGTTTAGGAAGTTTTGAAAAAATGAATTATTTGCATGAAAAGTAAAGTAAATTCTACTGTGTATAAGATTCGATGTTATGTTTTCGGTTTTTGCCTCATCAGAACTATTTTTAAGGATTAATGTAAAGAAAGCCTTCCATCAGCCACTGTTATTTTGAATTTTGTCACCCACAGTTAAATTTAATTGTAACAAGTTACCTACAAATACATTCTTTAAAATTCTTTTGAAAAGGATTAATGTAGGAATGCTTTCATTTTGGACATGGTATGAAATTATACAGATTGATGCAACAGATAATTTTTTTAAAATGAGTGATACATATGTTTAAAATCAGGTTACTAATTTCAGTAATAATGTGCTTGTACCTAAGTTTGAAGAGTTCCATGTCTCATAAAAGAGTTTACACTAAACACAGTCTTAGTTATAAACTTAAAATGTTAGGTTTATACACAGAATGAACTTAAAAGAAGGCAGCACAGGACCAGTCATTCTTCATTTTATTTCTTTCACTTCATGAACATTTATTTATCCATTATAACCCATTGCATTATTTATAAAAGAATATTGGAAGCAATGTTCAGTAATAAAAGAACGCTTGTTAAGTGATTAATTGTCCATAATGTTAAAAGTTAATTTGGAAATACTATATAGTAACAAAGATAGTAATCTTTTAACTAATGATTTATAGTGGAGACTGTAGTACCTTACTATTTAGTTTATAAAATAAGTGAAGATTAAAGATAATTTATGTAAAATATGTCTAATTTAGCATTTAGGTTCCTCTTTTTTTGTTTCGGTGTTGGTATTGGGGATTGAACTCAGGGCCTTACACATGGTAGGATGCTAGGCAAGTGCTCTACCACTAAGCTACCTCCCCAGGCCAGCCCTTTAAAAATTTTATTTTGACCTTCCAAAATAAAAGACCCAATCAAAAAATGGGCAACTGAAATGAATAGGTACTTCTCAGCAAAAGTACAGATGACTAATAAATACATGAAAAACATTCACCATTACTGGCCACTTGAGAAATGCAAATTAAAACAACAATGAAATTTCATCTCACTGCAGAAATAATGTCCATCACCAAGAAATCAAATAATAGCAAATTCTGGCAAGGTGGCCAGGGGAAAAGGAACCCTTCTACATTGTTGATGGGAATGTAAACTAGTACAACCACCACTATGAAGATCAGTATGGAGATTCCTCAAAAAACTAAAGCTAGAAATTCTACTTGACCCAGATATCCCCTTTCCAGGTACTTTCCCAAAAGAATTAAAGTTGTCATATTACAGGGATACATGCATACCCATGTTTATAGCACCACAATTAGTAATAGCTAAATCTTGGAAGCATCCTGTATGTCCATCAACAAGTGAATGGATAAAGTGGTATTTGTACACAATGGAGTGCTCCTCTACCATAAATAAGGATAAGCTTGAGGTATTTGTAGGTAAACAGATGCACCTTGAGACCATGATGTTAACTGAAATAAATTAGACACATATTTAAATATTCCATGGCTGCTTTTATATGAGAAAACCAAACTATAAATAAAGGGTAAAATAAAAGATCTATGGTAGGAAGTAGAGAGGTAGATCTTTTTCAGATGGGAAAGTGAACAAGAGATGGTGGTAGAAGGGAAGGGAAAAGGAATTAAAGAGAGAATTGAAAAAGAAAATGGAAATAGATATATTTAAAATGGGAGGGGGAACAAGAGTTGGCGGGAACAGGGAGGGATAGGAGAAGGGACAAAAAAGAATTCAGATGTGTTATGTACATCTGCATACTTCCCACAATAAATGTAATCATAATGTACTGCAATGTACTAATAAAAAAATCAATTTTATTTTGAGACAGGGTCCTGCTAAATTGCCCATGCAGGCTTCCAACTTGTGATCTTCTGCCTTAGCCTTTCAGATAGCTGGGATTACAGATGTGCACCCACTCACCCAGCTAGGGTTTAAGATCTTGAAAGCAGCATTCATGTGTAACACAAAACCGGCTGCGCGTGATGGCTCATGCCTACAATCCAACACCTGGGAGGCTGAGGTAGGAGGATTGGTGCAAGTTCAAATCCAGCCTGGACTACATAGTGAGATCGTGTTTCAACTCCTCTCCCCCACAGAATACCGTCAAAAACAGCATTTGATCCTGTAGTAAATCCTCAACAAGTAAATCCTTGTTAAATTTTTTGATGCCCAGTGCTAATGGGACATGTCTGTAAAGTATATGTAAACCCACTTGTTTATCTAAATGCTTCTGACTTATTCCTCTATTTTACCATGTGTATATGTTATCATCCTGAGACTAACCATAGACTTTTTAGACTTTAGTTCTTACAGAGCTGTCTAATATAGTTGCCATTAGCTACATGTGGCTATTTCAATTTCATTTAATAATTAAATACAATAAAAATTCAACTCTCTTTCACACTCAGCTATATTTCAAATGCTCACTCACATGTGGCTGTGGCTACCATACTGGCTGATAAAATGTAGACCATTTACATTATCTCAAAGTTCTATCGAACAGATACTCTTTGCTTAGTCTCTCTGATGCTTCACTTCCCATACCCTTAATTAAAACAGGTCCGTGCATCATATTTTTACCACTTGTGACTTTAATACTGGCGCCTTTTGGACCACAGAAACATCCTGCTGGAGCTTTCTTTAATCATGGTACCTTTGCATTCTACTTTTCAAAAATTTAGTGAAATTACAGATTTGCAGAGCCTCCTAGATAAACACTGGGAAGTAGACAAGAGGCTACTTCAGATTCAAGTGCTACCCATTGATACTGAATGTGATGTGGCCTACTTCTTCCTCAGCATTGTGAGGTGCTGAAGATGATTAAGTGAGGAATGCATTCAGAAGCTCATCACAAAATCTGGATGAGGAAAGGGGAAAGAACAGAACAGCTAAATGGCTTTTTGAGAAAATCGTGCCACTTTATTTTTATAGCTTCATTACCTTTTTAGAATTGTAGAGCTTAGTAATCTTTCCACCTGTGTAGTTAAGAAATTGCTGTGTTAAACATTTGGCCTGTAGAATTGAATGTGCATTGCGTTTATAACCTAAGTTTTTGTTATTCAAGTCCCTACAACTAAGGTTATAGTTATATTTAGACCAGTACTCCGTTGTATTTTGTTTTGTTTTAAATTTTTCAGTGTTGGGAATTGAACCCAGTGCCTGTACCACTGAGCCGCATTCCCTGCTCTTTTTATTTTTTTCTGTTTTGCAATAGTCTAAGTTGCTGAATGGCCAGTGCTGATCTTAAATTTGTGATCCTCAGCTTCCCAAGGTACTGGGAGTATAGGTGTGTGTCACACTTGGTTTCTGTTTGTGTTTTAGAGGCCTGAATTAATACTAGGTCAACATACATCATGTGATGACCATCTTAAACTAAAATACATGAATGTAGGCTATTTCTGTATGTGAAGGATGGGTAGCAAAAAGGTTTGTAAGTGATCGTTATATTCCCTTTTTTTTCCCCTCTTTTATTCATTCAGGCATCTATTCAGTAGTCATTTTTGAGTGTTTGCTCAGTGCTAAGTACTCAGCTGGTTCTAGGGATAGAAAGGTAGATGCACCAAGCCCCTGTCCTCCAGGGCTCACAATCTGGTGGAGCAGAGGGACAGAACACAGCGACAGCATCTTCAGGTGCTCTGTAGAAGCATCCAGAAGTCTCTTGACAATCTGGAGGAGGAAGCAATTAATGTGATCTGGGATGTCAGGGACCTCCCGGAGGAAGTGACACTGCACTAGAAAGATATAGTCTGAAGTGGACTAGGCGTGTTGCTCCTTGTTAGAGCCCTTGGGTATCATGCTCAAATGCTGGGGTTAGAGTCCTAGCACCACACACAAGAGAACCCAGAGACTTCATTCTAACGTATTTCTTGGCACTTTGTTACTTACATCCTCATGTTACTCTAGCTAGTAGTCTCTCAAAAGCACAGCATCCTGCACATGCCTGACTTCTTACATTGTGCCCGCTTTGTGTGAGGAAGGTGCTCCTGTGCCCTCTTTGCATGGCAGAACTCAAGCCACACTTCAAAGCTCTGCCTCAGTCTTACCCTTTTCTCTTAGCTCACTCCTGATGCTTCTAACTTAGAATCAGCACAGCTTTTGTTGTATATACTTTTGCATAAGAGATTCCACTGTAAATGGTAATGATTGTTTTCCTAGATGTGAATTCCTTGAGGATGAGAGTGATGTTTTATCTGTCTTTTTATTTCCAGCATTTAGCTTATTCTGATGGGTGCTACACAGTAATTATTCAGTAGATGTTGAGTGAATGAGTGAAAGCCTTAGTGTTGTGATATATGGAGTTGATAGAGTTCTATACTTCGTGGCACTCAGACATTAAATACTGTCATGAAATGGATACTTATTATTCATGTTGGCATAATTTGTCTTTCACATGTGTTTTAGGAGGGCCAAACATGTGGGCTATTACCTCTGAAGAACGTACTAAGCATGACAAACAATTTGATCACCTCAAGCCTTCAGGAGGTTACATAACAGGTCTGTGCTTATCGTTTGTTATATCTTATTATAAATCATATTCCTTTTCATAAAGCTTAAAATTAACTTTGATATAACTGCTATCAAATTTGTATTATTAAGTGATACAATTTGTATCAAATTGAATAAAAGCACTGTACTATTTTATTTTTCCTCCAACTATCTTGGTTTGTTGTTTTGGGTGTGGCATATGTGGAAGATCTTTGATTGAATAGTAAATGATATTCAAGAATTTGTTTGATTGTCTTGTTCACGTTCTACATTCTATCTAAAAGTTCTCCATTTATTTTTGTATCAGATCCATTTTCTGGGAAATAATCTATCCTCCCCATCTGTTTTGTGGTCTAGCTCTCTGTCTTTGGATTGTGCCAAGAATTGATTGTTGATGCTGGCCCCGGTTTTGCACAAAGACTACCAAATCCAAAAAGGAACTAATTTAAATATGTCTTTCAGAGCTTTTTCTACAAAGGAAATTTTATCTCTGTGCCAAAGCCTCTTAGTGCTTTATATACAGTGATCATCATGATAATAATTACACTACTCAGAAAAGTAAAAGCAGAAATTCCTTTTGACCCCCCTACTAGGTATCTTCCCAGAAGAGTTACAATCATCATTTTACAGGGATTCACGCACACCCATGTTTAGAGCAGCTCCATTTGTAAAGCTGGATCTTGGAAATAGCACATGTGTCAATCAGCAGGTGAATAGATAAGGAAAATGTGGCAGTTATACAAAACGGAGTACTACACTGCCATTAAGAAAGATAAACTTGAAGCATTCGTAGGTAGATGGATGCAACTTGAGAACACAGTTAAGTGAAATAAATCAGACACACAAATTCAAATATTGCGTCTTTTCTCTTACATGAGAAACTTTAGAGAGAGAGAGAATGAGATCAAAATAGAAGAGATAAATAGGAAGTCAGGAGAAGTTCAAATACCCAAATTACATATTCTCTTGTTTTAAAATATTTAAATACATGTGCTAATTTGTTTCACTTTTACTAATAGTTTATCTGTGTTGAAAAGAAAGTTTGCACTATCTTTTGTTTTTTTTGTTTTGTTTTGTTTTGTTTTGTTTGTTTTTTTCTGGGACCAGGAATCGAACTCATGACCTCGTGCTTGCCAGGCAGGCACTGTGCCACTGAGCTAAATCCCCAGCCTCTTTGTTGTTTTTTTTTGTTTTTTTTTTTTTTGTTGTTGTTGTTTTAAAGTTTGCACTATCTGTTTCTTTTTTGTAAGAATCTTTCTGGGTTTTGTCTTAACTACTTTGAAGATAACAATACCAACATAATAACTGTTGTTATCCTCTTATTATATGGTTATGAAAATTTATTTTTTCATGAAATAAAAGAAGGTACAGACTTTCAGTTATAAGTAAGTTCTGGGGAGCTAATGTACAATGTAGTGACTGCATTATAAGTTTGAAATATGCTAAGAGAATAAATCTTAAATGTTCTCATCACAAAAAAAAAAAGATAACTATGTGAGGTGAAAAAAAAACTACTGCTTATCAAATTTATACTATATGCCTGATGTTGTTCTAAAAGCATTATCTCATTTTATCTTTATAATAGCCCTGAGGAGTTGATAGTCTTGGCTAGATTTACAGATGGTGAAACTGAGACTGTAGAAAGATTATGGAGCTTGCCTAAGGTTATAAAGATGATTAGTATTGATATGGGCTTTGAAATCTTTCAGCCTGACTTTGGAATCCATTCAGTATGTACCTGTTATCAAGATTTGATTAATAGCCTCTTCTTGTTCATGGACAGAAGACTTGGACAGGCAGAAGACTTAAGATTTCTGATTCAGAGAACAAGGTCTTTATTAAATAGCTAGGACGTATTTCTGGCACCTTCCTTTGTTCCCCGGGTGATGCAAAGTGCTCAGAAAGATGCTACACATAATACAGTCATGTTACAGGAAAGGAACTGGGCTTGAGGAACCTTAGTAAGCAGTAAAGCAAATTTGTTTTTTGTCCCAGTTGGAAATATTACCTACCCCATTGTTCACTTAAAAACCTGATTCTGAGAAACTACCAGGTAGAAATTACCAGGAGTTAGGGTTCTGCATTCTTGGCCTACATAGCAGAACACATAGGAATATGAGGAAACCCATGGAGGACTGTCTGTTCTAATACTTGGTACTCCTTGTATAGAGCTCTTTTAGGCAATTATATTTATATGTATGTATGCATGTATCTTTTGTGTGTATGGTGCTGGGGACCAAACCCAAGGGCTTACACATGCTAGGCAAGCACTTAATTGCCAAACTACATTCTCAGTCCTATATATTTTATTACATGGGAATAATATTAATCAAGTAAGACCCCCAATTGTGGGAAATTATTGCGAAATAATACAGTCTTTCATCACTTTCTTAATAACATGAGCTCAGTTGTAAATCATGTTCTAAAACATCTAAGCCTTATTAAAGGAATATAAATAATTTCATGTGTATTTCTACTTCATTCTTTACTGATTAGAGTTAAAATTATAATAAAACAACAACACATGCCCATTATTATAATTATTAGTCAGGACATCGGAGTACTTTCATTTACTAATGTACTGCTTGGTTTTTGTTTTTCACTTTCAGGTGATCAAGCACGTACTTTTTTCTTACAATCAGGTCTGCCGGCTCCTGTTTTAGCTGAAATATGGTAAAATGTTTTCTTTTATAAATGTACTTAAATTTCTGATGGACTGTTTTTTAAAATAATAGTGTCAACAAAAAAATTTTTAGTTGTACTCTTGTTAAGAATATTTCTTCAGCTTTTTGGAAAATAAATTTCATTTAGCAAATGATTGAAAACTGGAGCTCTGCAGGACAAATTTCTATTTTCATTAGAAATATTTCTTTATAATTTGGCAGAATCTCAATATCTTCTTTTTGTAATTTTATAGTAGCTTCATTTATTTTGTCATCTACAAACCCCAAACTATCTCTCCATTCTCCTGTTTTTACAATTATTCACTAGATTATACCCCATCTTTCTTTCCTTGTGGAATATTCCTATGTCTAAAAGAATTCCAGGCACATAGCATGCATTCAGTAAGTACTTGAATAAATGAATAAATTAAATTTAGAATTATAATATTCTTGAATAATTTCTGTCTACCTGGTAAATTCATCACAGATGTTTCTGTAGACAGGCAGTGTTTTGTTAGACTATCTCTGGCCAAAACTTAATGTACTGGTTTTATCTTTTTGTTATTCATACTTAGGTACATATGAATGCTTATGTTGTTCTTTCTGTTTCCTAAACCTCAACAGTAGTGTTGGTTTCTCCATCTCACCACCTCTACCTCATGCTCTTTTCAGGGCCTTATCAGACCTGAATAAGGATGGGAAGATGGATCAGCAAGAGTTCTCCATAGCTATGAAACTCATCAAACTAAAGCTTCAAGGCCAACAGTTGCCTGTGGTTCTCCCTCCCATTATGAAACAACCCCCTATGTTCTCTCCATTAATTTCTGCTCGTTTTGGTGTGTATTTTTTATTTTAATAACTTGTATTTAATAGTTCACCTTGCTTCTTAGACATAATACTTAGGGACCAGAAAGCCTTTGTTAGCATAAAACGATAGTCCCCAAGCTCAGAAAAGAATTATTAAATTCACCGTCATAGCTAGGATACACATGTGCTCCAGTTTTCTGAAACAGTTTTAGTTTATACCTTTTGTATAAGTACCACCTTTCACAACTCCCAGGTTGGTGATAAATTATACCCTGCCCCCAGATGATCCTAAATGTCCTTAACTAGTTTCTTTTGTGATCTCATGGAAGTAGAAAGTAGGGTGGTGGTTATCAGAAACTGTGGAGAGGAGGGAAGAGGGGCAGTGGTAGTAGATACAAAATTACAGAGGAAAAATAAATTCCCTTGTTCTGTTGCACAGTAGGGTGACTGTAATTAACAATGTTGTATTACATATTTGAAAATATCTAGAAGAGAGGACTTTGAATGTTTTTAGGACAAAGAAATGATATATGCTTGAGGATATGCCAGATACTCTGATTTGATCATCACCCAGTATATCCATGTACAGAAACATCACACTGTACCTCATACATGTGTACAATTATGTGTCACTTAACCAATTAAACCAAAAAATTAGTAATTTTTAATTTAATTGAAATTGATTAGGAGTTAATTCAAAATTCTATGAAACCGAAATTTCTTTAGCTTAAAAGCTAAATGTACAGCTAAATTTACAGCCAAAAGTCATAGACTTACCAGAGACAACCTTTAGGTATGATTTCTACATAATTTTACTTGGTCAGTTACTTATTAATTGTATGTGAGAAGCACTCATTTTGAATAGAACTTTCAATTAGGTATCTCTGTGTGAGATGCATATGCCTTCACTCGATGTTAGATCTTAAGGTTTTAGATGTAAGACCTTAATTCTTTAATTATTGCACTGAGCTCTAGAGATTGATACCAGTGTGTGACCATATTTATATATTAAATTCTGTGTTCTGCATTTAGTAAACAAACATCATTTTTCTCTTTTTAAAGAATCAGCCTTGAATTCATAGGTACATTACTTACAAGAAAAGTGAAATATGTGCCATGCTTTCTTGCAAATGCACATTCTTAAATGGATTCCTGAAGTATCTACTAGTTACAACTTGTTTTTGTTCATTTGGGGAGTGTGTGCACATGTTAGACAGGTAATTTAGCACCACTATATTTGTCTTTCTTACACAAAAAAACTACATGTGATCAGGTAAAACATTCCTTGAGGATACAAACATTTAATTGGTAAAGGCTACTTAGGTTTAGTCACAATGAAAAAAGAGAGAAAAGAATCTTTAGCTGATTATGAGACACTTCCTTAGTTCACACAGGTCAGAGTATTAATAGTAAATGCAGTAGTTTTACCTCCCTTATGTCTTGTGTAAAGCTGCTTGAGGGAGTTTCTAAGGATAAGGTGTTTATGGTGTTTCTGTAAACATAGGGGCTGCTTGTAATATTATAAAGTTGCTTTTTGGCATGTGTCTTACTGTTGCTTTACTAGCACTAGAAAATATGTTTTTATCTTTAGGGATGGGAAGCATGCCCAATCTGTCCATTCCCCAGTCATTGCCTCCAGTTGCACCTATAACAGCGCCCTTGTCCTCTGCAACTTCAGGGACCAGCCTTCCTCCCTTAATAATGCAAACTCCCCTAGTGCCTTCTGTTAGTACATCATCGTTACCAAATGGAACCGCCAGTCTCATCCAGCCTCTGTCCATTCCGTACTCTTCTTCAAGTAAGTGTCTGATGAGTCAGTATTTCATGGGAAGAAAGAAACTGTTACATTTGTGTTCAGAGAGATACAGATTTCCTTCTTTGTGAGCCTTTGTTTTTTTCTCTTTTGTAGCATTGCCTCATACATCATCTTACAGTCTGATGATGGGAGGATTTGGTGGTGCTAGTATACAGAAGGCCCAGTCTTTGATTGATTTAGGATCTAGTAGGTATGAATACTTAACATTTACTTTTTATGCTTTCAGCCAGGAGTCATTATTTAATAAGCTCTGAGCTTATCTAAGTTTTACTTTCTAATGACCAAATATAAATACTTAAGGTAGGCTGGGTACAGTGGCACATTCCTGTAATCCCAGCACTTGGGAGGTGGAGGCAGGAGCATCACTGTGAGTTTGAGGCCAGCCTGGGGTACATAGTGAATTCAAGCCAGTCTGGCCTACACAGTAAGACCCTGTCTCAGGAAACTTAAAAAAAAAACTTCAGGTAAATCATTACACAAAATAAATTTTTTGTTTTTAGAATTATTAAATATCTGTGGTACTTTACTTTTAAAAAATCTTTATGTAAACTTAAATTTTTGTCTAGTCAACATTTAGCCCCAAACAATATACTGTTACTTTTTTAAAGTATATATTTCTTAAAATGCTTCATAGTCACTGTACAGTGTTAGTTTCTTTCCTATGTAAATTCTTCTGATTGGACACTTTAAATTTTAGAAAGCCCTAAAGCATCTTTGATCATCTCTCCTGTAAATCACAATTATGTCTTCAAAGGAATCTGCAAAGTTGTTTCTGACATAGAGGCACAACATTCATATCATAGTTTAAACACTACTGATTTTTTTACTTTATTTCTTCTTAGTATCACTGATCCATGGTCTATCCATCTAAAAGATGGAGACAGTAAGATCTTCTAAGATCATTGGGATATTTGTAAAGGCCCTAGCACAATACTAAGCCTGGGTTCTTAATATGTGATAGTCCCATGGATTTCTATGCTTCATGTGGTATTTGCTTACCAAGAATTGTAATTGCTGGGGCTGGGAATTTAGCTCAGCTGCACAGCGCCTGCCTGGCAAGTGCAAGGTCGTGACTTTGATTCCCGGTACCGGAGAAACAAAACAAAACAAAAAAAAGAATTGTAGTTGCTTAAATTTAAGTTTTAAAAATTTCAAATGCACAGGCAGTTATGTAAGGTATGATTCTTAATATGTTTGTCATATAAAGTTTAGTGTATTTTATTTGGTAACATAAAAGATTTAAATTTCATTATAGCTCAACTTCCTCAACTGCTTCACTCTCAGGGAACTCGCCCAAGACTGGCACCTTAGAGTGGGCAGTTCCTCAGCCTTCAAGATTAAAATACCGGCAAAAATTTAATAGTCTTGACAAAAGCATGAGTGGATACCTCTCAGGTAAGTGTCACATGGTGCTTAAAAGGGTGGGAGAGTTAAAGTACTTTATTTATACAGACTTCCTTTGAAAAACTTATTTTAATTTATATTTGTAGGTAGTTCATCTAAAGTTGTAATATCCCCAAAAGTTAGAAAGCATTTGATAAATACAAGTATTATAATTTGTATAAGACTTTAAAGAGGTGCTTTCTTCAAATTACAGTCAGTTACACACAGGTATACACCCAGGGTTTTGAAAAAAGACTTACCTCTCAAGACGATCAAACCCATTCTTTGAGTTTGCACTGAATGGAGAACCCCCAAGTCATGAAGAGAAATGTGTGGAATTTGGTCTCAGCGTGCTTTGCCTGAGAATCCTGTTCCTTATTGGGCCTTTTTTCTGATTGCTTTTACCAAAACCTCAGGTGAGCTTTACTCACCCTTTAATACTCTAACACAAATGTTCCTGTGAGACTTGACATCAGCTGCTCATAGACCAGTTGAGTGTAGGCTAGACCATTATCCAAACATTAGTAATTGACGGTAGTGAAGGGGATTCACAGAGGGTAATAGGCAAGTGGAGTGCCCACCTTCTAATCTGTCCACTGTCTCTTCACTCAGCAAGGAATGTACATAGGCATAGCCAAGGACTCTCTGAACAGAACCCCAATTGCACAAGAAATAATGTCCAAGAAAGAACAAATGGTATTATATCAAAAAGCTGCTGTTCACGAATGAAAGCAATAGAGCAAAGGGACAACCTATAGAATGTGAAAAAAAAACTTTTGCCAGCTACTCCTGAGATAGAGGGCTAATATCTAGACTATATAAAGAACTCAAAAAAGAAATTAGACCCCCAAAACAAAAACCCAGTCAAAAAATGGGCAGTTAAAATTATTAGATACGGGCTGGGGATTTAGCTCAGTGGCACAGTGCCTGCCTGGCAAGCATAAGGTTATGAGTTCAATTCCTGGTACCGGGAGAAAAACAAAAAATACAAAATATTTTGGGGCTGGGGATTTAGCTCAGCAGCAAAAGCACCTGCCTGGCAAGCGCAAGGTCATGAGTTCAGTTCCTGGTACCGGAGAAAAACCAAAAAAATAAATAAATAAATAAAATTAGTAGATACTTCTCAAAAGAAATACACATGACCAAATGATGAATTGCGTAACAGTCTTGGCCATTAAGGAAATGCAGATCAAAACAGCACTGAGATTCCATCTGATTCCAGTAAGAATGGCTATCATTAAAGACTCAAAAACAAGAAATGGCAAGGATGTGAATGATGTGAAGCAAGGATGTGAAGCAAGAAAGCAAGGATGTGAAGTGGGGGAACCTTTGTACATTGTTAGAGGGAGTGTAAACTAATAATAACCACTATGAAAATCGGTATGGAGATTCCTCAAAAACTAAAAATAGAAATTCCATTTGGCCCAGCTATCCCTCTCCCGAGTAACTTCCTGAAAGAGTTAAAGTCATATATTACAGTGGTACATGCATACCCATGTTTGTAGCGGCACATTTCACAATAGTTAAATTATGGAGACAGTCTAGATGTCCACCAACAGATGAATAGAAAAAGAAAATATGGTATATATACACAATAGAGTATTAACTATAAAGAATGGTACACTTGAGTTATTGTAGGAAATGGGTAGATCTTGAGACTATAAAAAGCAAAATAAAGGAGAGATGGTAGGAAACAAGGAGGTAGACTTTTGGGGAGATAGGGGAAGAGAAATCAAAAATGATCAAGATACAGTAGTATATACAGTATAAATACGTAGTCAATACTAACTCCCCAAAATGAATGTAATTCAGAGCTGAAGCAGGAGGATTGTAAATTTGAGGCTAATCTGAGTAACTTAATGAGACATCTCTCCTTTATTTTGCTTTTTATAGGGAATGCAGTTTCACAGTTACTGTACTGAGTGAAACAGTGTTATCACAAAAAGATCCATACTATTTAATTCATACATATGAAGCTGAAGAACAGGAAACCTAATTAATGGTAGCAGAAATCAGAATAATGTATTCTTTTGGAAAGGGGCTGTGTGTAAACCTGAGGTGCAGGAAACATTTTGTGTGCCTGTGTGAATGTTGGATGCAAGTGTGCTTACCTACGTTACTTTATTTGTGTATGCCACATTATAGGAATGTTGTATATTAGCTTTTCAGAGAACGTTATTCTGAGAGGCTAAAGGCTAAAGCTTTGTATTTATAAGTAAGGGCAAAGTTTTCTTTAAAAAAGAATAGTTATTGCTGGTGTCCTGAAACTGAGCATACACCCCAAATCCATGAACTTACATGTTTATGCTTTGTTTGTTTCTCTCTTTGTTCCTCTTGTTAGCTTCCACTAAACCCACAGTCTTTGATTTATTTAGATTAATTCATTGAGTTAGATATTCCTAAGCCACATATCTTCTAGGCACTTTCTTGGCACAGGAGCACAGAGGGCAGGAAGATATGGTCCCTACCTGAACCCATAGTATAACTCACATAACACAGTATCTAATCAGTGACTTAAAGTGTGTGATCAGTGTAGATGAGGAACTGACCACTGCGGATACAGGAGAGAAGTTTTCACAGAAAATATAGTGCATGAGCTGAATCTTAGAGGATAAATAGACTACCAGGTAGAAAAGGTAGGGTGGTGGAGGAGATAAGATAAATACTCCGCTGGCTTTTTGTGGCCCTCTGTATGATTCAGAATTCATGTGTATTCATATAGTCCTCTAGCAGTATGCTTTTAATCATTTATGTTCCCTTCCATCTTCTCTATTACCTAGTGTTAAGGTGTCTTCATTACTTTCTCATTGCTGGAACAAAATACCTGACACTCACAAGCTAAAGGAGGAAAGGTTTATTTTAGCTCACAGTTTGTGGAGATTTCAGTCAGCAGTTGGCTGGTTCGAAGGTAAGGCAGCATGGTAGAAGAGATACAGTCCATGGCAGGGCAGATAGAGAAAAGTAGCTGCAGCGAGACTCCCTTTCCTTTTTTATCTTATTCAGACTACAAGCCTTTTGGTGCTGCTCACATCCAATTTAGGGCTCTGTTTTCAGTAAATCCATTCAGCCACACCCAGAAATATGCTGAACCAGTCACTGGACTAATCCAGTTATCACACCCTGATCCAGTATCTCACACCTGAGATCCAGCCACCTCCTCCTGAAAGCACTACCTATGAGCACATCAGGCTTTGTGGGATGTCTTCCTACAAGCCATAACATAAGTGTTTTGTTCTTGTTTTTGAGTACTGGGGATTGAATCTATGGGTGCTCTACTACTGAGCTACAACCTAGCCTTTTTTATTTATTTTGAGACCTTGTCTCATTAAGTTACTCAGATTAGCCTCAAATTTACAATCCTCCTGCTTCAGCTTCCTGAGTAGCTGGGATTATAGGTATGTGCCACCATATCTGGCCTATTTCTCTTTATTAAAAGAATCATTTTAACTCAAAGACTTCCTCAAATTATACTTCCTATGTGAATTCCAAAATTAGTAGGTTAAAACTATAAAGCTATTTCCAGTGTTTTTTTTCCTGTGAGATTCTAATAAATGAGCAAATAGTGATATTTAAAAATGACATGAATATTTAACTGCATGTTATAAACATGGTAGCTGTGGTTAGCAAGTCCTCTGTGTTCAAAACTCATTGCAACGGTAGAGTTAGCTGCATTTGTGCTGGTTTGTGGTAGGAGCTGCTGCCGAGGAAGGGTAATACAAACTGTATTGTGTCGGATAGGCCTTTACTGAAGCTAAATTCAGAGCAGGGGCCAACTCTTCTGGAGTTCATGGCAGTGTCATCTAGAGGTGGAAGGCGGGGCACCTGCTTCATTGATAAGGACACTATATCTCTCACCTGGTGGCATGAATTCAACCATGGTCAAGCAAGGCACAGACTAGCTTACCAGGGCTGGATGCTCCTCTGAAGCAGACAGTGACTTTTTTGGTTTGAAATCTATTCTTGGGCTTTCTTTTTTTCTGCCTGATACAACATTCTAGATCAGGAAATCTGTTATAAAAATATAACTTTGACTACTGAGGGAGAGAAAAGAAGCTGAACAGTTTACTACTTGTAGCTGTTATTACAGCTTAAATAGAGGAAAACTTTAGATTGCAACTTTCTTATTTTAGCAAATACTTACAAGTGTTCATTTACCAGGTGTTGGGTATGCCTTAGTGAATAAAGCAGTCAAGGTTTTTATCTCTTTAGAACTTGCCAGCATGACAGGGGAAATAGACAATAAAAGGGAATCAAGCAAATAAAAGTTATTACAAATAATGATAGAAGTTATGAAAGGGACAGGAGAGACACTGGATGATAGGGTGGTCAGAGTCTCTTTTGGGGAAGTAATGATAAATTGAGACTTGTGGGGTTAGGAGGATCCTGATATACGATGACAGAAGTGTAGGCCTTAATATTGGATATAGATGTATAGGAGAGAGAGGGATCAAGCATGACTTTTGGAGTTCTGGCTTGAGCAATGCATAGTAATGCTATTCACAGAGAAGGGAAGACCAAAGGAAAATGATGAGGAGTAAAAACTTAGAAGAGAGGTGAATATAGAGAATTTTTTGTATATTTGATTTGACATTCCTGTGGAATATATATGTTCCTGTGGAATATAGATTGGTTGGGTATAAGAATGTAAACTTAAAGAAGTTTGGGCTGTGGATATATGTTTGGTGATCATCAGGCTCTAGCCTTGTTTAAAACCATAGAAATAGTTATAAATACACAAGAGAGAGAAGAGAGCCCAGGACAAGTCCTTGCAAGAACATCAGCCCTTACCAATCATTTAGGAAGAGTAGAGGCAAATATACTTCAAATTGTGCTGAAGCATAAGAAGCACTGAGAGTCACTCTCTGCCTGGTGTTCATGCCTTCATGTCATGCACTTGTGTGTGCTGCTATTTTGGTGAAAGAACATGGTGCAGAGTACTTGCTCTCACTAATGCTAAATTAAACTCCTCGGAATAGGACTGTTTATTACTACTGAATGCGCAGTACCTGATAAATACATTTTAATATTAAGAGGAATAGTTATTTAGGTGTCTCTGACTTTAGAGAGGCTAAAGAATTTTTTCCTTATGGTTTTCCCACTTTAAACAGGTTTTCAAGCCAGAAATGCCCTTCTTCAGTCAAATCTTTCTCAAACTCAGCTAGCTACTATCTGGTGAGTTTGTGCATTAAGGTGATTTTTAACTATATAGCCTCTATTGCAAGAAATATACTGTTTTGGGGAAAAAAAAAACAATAATTTTTCTTAAAAACAATTATTTCTGTAAAAGTTTGTGACTGTAAAGATGTTGAGTCACAAACAGCATTTGAAAGTTAATATTAACTTTGAAAGCAAAGTTGTATAAAGTGTGATTCTTGAGAATTTAGCATTTAACTATTTTACAACTAAAACTTTAATTTTTATATGATAGTGTCTATGGAGAATCAGACTCATTTTTAATATACAGATAAACATGATTTGATAGGTAAATTGAACATAAAATAAGATAAACCACCTTCTCAGAATGGATATATCTCATTCTGTTTCAAAGTTTCTTCCCTCTTTTTTGTTATGAAAATTAAGGGTTAAAATTAACTTACTTTTCTGTATGTATTTACATTGTACTAAAATATGCTAACCCAGCAATTTTACCATCATCATTATTCTAAAAATTAAAAATTAATTCTTCAGACAGTATTTACTTCATATGGACTTTCTAAGTTGTGAATTTCCACATTTTCTTTAGGACTCTGGCTGACATCGATGGGGATGGACAGCTAAAGGCTGAAGAGTTTATCCTTGCAATGCACCTCACTGACATGGCCAAAGCTGGGCAGCCACTGCCATTGACTCTGCCTCCTGAGCTCGTTCCTCCCTCCTTCAGGTGAGCCTATCTGCAGATAAAGAGCTCTGGTTTTCATTACTTGGCAGGTATGATTTTTACTTTGGGATTTACAAGGGCCTATACTCTGTTTTAGAGGAGAGTTAAATATTTTCTTAGGTGTTTAATTTTAGTACTCAATGAATTGCACTAGAAAGAAGTATGTGTTTGAAGTAGGTATGTTTTTACCATATTATAGAGAAAGAAACTTGCCCAAGAATAGCAATTAACTACACCATAATTTGAATTTAGCTCTCTTTTGCATGAATCATAGGTAGTGTGTACTGTCTAGTCTGAAAATTCCCAGACCATATGATGCTGACTTTGTTGTTTGCTTTTCTTAGAGGAGGAAAGCAAACTGACTCAATTAATGGAACTCAGCCTTCATATCAGAAGACACAAGAAGAAGAACCTCAGAAAAAATTACCAGGTATCCTTAAGTATCTAAGTTGTATGTTTATAGGGAGTTCTTTTAAATTTTACTTTGAAATATAAGTGAATACTTAGAATTTTTCATTATTAAGATTTTTTGTGCTATGTGAAAAAATTATTTGATGGATGGGATGGGTTTTGATGTCCTAAAATTAAGATTTTGATGTCAGTAAAATTAAGATAAAATTAATGAGTGTATGAAGGAAGAAAAGACAGTGTGTGTATTGTGAGAATAAGCTTTGTGGGGAATTTTTAGCCTTAAAAAAAACTTGTAAATATTGATTGAGAGAGAACATATATAGTTGTTTTTCAAATTAAAGTATTATATTAAATATTTAAAATATTAGTTTTAAGTATTTAAAATAATTAATATTTTACATTTAAAATATTTAAAAGTTAATAGCATAGAAATGGCATAATAAAACAAATGTATAGCCACACAGTTTTGGTTGTCCTTGAAGAAAACTCATGAGAAAAAAGTTTAAACAGTATTTTTATTGGCAAGAGCAGTAAAATTACTTCTCTCTTGGATGGATTCAAACATAGAAATTTGGTTTTTCTTAATGAATATTTTTAGAAGAAAGTAAATATTTTGCTGTTTACACTTGAGTTAAAATTATCCTAAGAGGAAGTAGCCAGAGAGCGAGAGCACGCAGATGATCACAAGGTGTGTGTGACACTAGATTACAGGTTTTACGGCCTCTTGCTGTGTGAGGATGCTTACAGTGTACTTTACTCAGTTACCTTTGAGGACAAGCGGAAAGCCAACTATGAGCGAGGGAACGTGGAGCTGGAGAAGCGGCGCCAAGCCTTGATGGAGCAGCAGCAGCGGGAGGCAGAACGCAAAGCCCAGAAAGAAAAGGAGGAGTGGGAACGGAAACAGAGAGAACTACAAGAACAAGAATGGAAGAAACAACTTGAATTAGAAAAGCGCTTGGAGAAACAGAGGGAATTGGAGAGACAGCGGGAGGAAGAAAGGAGAAAAGAGATAGAAAGACGAGAGGTTATTCTTACTTTATTTCCTAACAATATCATTCATTTAATAAATGCCTACATTTTAACTTAATTAAAACATACTTATTTTTAAATTTGTGTTGTACCTTTTCCTTGACATCATTTCATTCTTACATATGAATCTGAATCTACCTTCCTTTGAGAAGGTAGAGAAGGTCCTACATGTAAGAGTTTTTCAGGGCTGCTGCGTGATAGAGGGCATCTCTGCAGTGTAGGTGATACCTTCATCAAAGGAGGATTAAGTGCACAGCTGAGTTGATTGAGGTGCGAGGATTAGCTGGGCAGTGAAGAGTGAGGCTGAGCAAGTTCCAGATTCAGATTCAGAGTCTAGGGAATTGGAAGGACAGAAGGATGAGCGTGGGAAACCGAAGGTCTGGAAAGAAACCGAGAGGGTAGACTCGTGCAAACTCTCAGGACATAGCGTTGTGTGGGGTCCCTGAAGAGGACCGACTGTGTTTTAAGGGCCAGGGGTAACTTATAGTGCACTGAAAAAGTGTAAATAGAAATTTTTTCTCCCCTGGTACCAGAATAGAGGTGTGACTTACTCTTAACATTTATATTTATGAAATCATCCTTTTGCCTAGTAAGAGAAAAATGTAACGAAAGGATGGTCCTGTGCAACAATCAAAAAGTAACAGGTAAAATCACATTTGTGGAAGTCTTTAGACCCATTGATAAAACTAAAGTTGCCCAACCTACCTTTTAGCACCGGGGCCCACCGAGTGCTAAACACTGTCATCCCTTTAGTTTTTGAATAATTTTTTTTGTCTTTTTTTTTTTTTTTTTTTTTTGAGACAGGGTCTCACTATGCAGTTCAGGCTGGCCTTGAGCTCACTTTGTAGCACAGGCTTGTCTTGAACTCACAGTGATCCTCCTGCCTCAGCTTCCCAAGTGCTGGGATTACAGGTGTGCACCACCACACCCTGCCTAAATTTTAGTTTAAAATTAACTGTAATTCATTATTTTCAGGCAGCAAAACAGGAGCTTGAACGCCAGCGTCGTTTAGAATGGGAGAGAATTCGTCGACAGGAGCTTCTCAATCAAAAGAATAGAGAACAAGAAGAAATTGTCAGGTTAAACTCTAAGAAGAAGAGCCTTCACCTTGAGTTGGAAGCACTGGTATGGGCAGAGTTTAAGTGAAATTTGTCTGAATAATGCTGCAGTTACTTGCTGAAAAATGCTATTATTTTTAAAATCTATCTTATAAATGAATATTTTAAGATAATTAACTGCCTCAGCCTTCTGAATGCTGGGATTACAGGTGTGTACCACCACACCTGGCTTTAGATGTGCTTTTGAGCACATGGGGCAGTGTAGTTTGCTGAAAAGGCTAGAGACTAAAGTGCTAAGAACTATGTTGTTGCCTTACTCCAGATGCAGATGGACCATGTGCACTACTTTGTTACTTTGCCTACATATAAAATGAAGGGTATGCTGGTTCAGTATTTCTCAATTTTCAAAGCAGTCTCTGGAAAATGGTCTGTAGAGGACACTTTACAACAGATGGCTCCACATTTATGTGCTTTATTTTTGTTGAGATTTAGGCTAAAATTTGCTTGGATTAAAAAAAGAATCCTACCATTAAAAAGAAAAAGGATTTAAAACTGCTTGCCTAAATACTTTCTTACAATTCCTTTCAGTTCTGCGGGACTATAGGTTTTAGCTCATATTGGGTACTGTATACTGGTGCTTCAAAATGGAACTTTAAAAATTAGACTTTTTTCCTTGAGACACAAGTAGCTTCCTCAAACTTCTTAGACCTATAGTATCAACATCTGCACTCACCATTCTTCAGCTTAGGTGAATGGGCAGGATGTGCATATGCTGGCACCAGGAGAGCAAACCCTATTTCACTCCTTAGGCAAGGGAGGGAGAGGTCTGGGAAGGGGCGAGCAAGCCTGACTGTCTGTTGTCTCATTGTCTTCCCTCCCCCACCCTTCTGTCTACAAAACTGTACACAGCGAGATGATGACTTGAGGCATGTGGGCCCCTTAGTCATCTTGCAGCTAGCTTTGTATAAATTATTTTTCTTTTTTATTCAAACAAATGTCCTCTTTTATTTGGTCAGCATCAAGCAAACAGACCTGAGCATATGAACCTAAGTGTCCAGTAACAGCTCTACTTACCAGTTTTTGCTCATTAAACTTCGTTTAAAATTCAAGATGAGAAGATAAAAAGATCTGAAACCATTCTACTGAAGTCTTAGAATCCTGTAAGCCTGACCTGACCTAATAGTAGTACAGAATTTTGCAAAAATACATGTTTAGCTATATGGTAGAACCAAATTTAGATTTTTATTTTGTTTTATCTTTTGAGTCAGGATCATGCTTTGTAGTGGAGGCTGGCCTTAAAATCATTGCGTAGTTCAGGCTGACCTCGAACTCATAGGTACCCTCTTGCCTCAGGCTACTGAGTGCTGGAATTACAGGCAGTACCAAGGCACTTATCTTAAATTTAGACCTTACTTAACTGTAGTGAAACATTTTATTTGGTTGACTTTAATTATATCGTATAATTATTTTTAAATTTTCTCAATAGCTTTAGTCAGAAAAGTCTTCAAATAGGTAGGCATACTTAGCATAATTATTAGTTACATCATAGTACTACAAAAGAAGCCTAAAACTTGAACTTCTTTGTGCTATCTGGGTATCTGTCTGAGCCATCATCTTGACTGTGTATTTTTTCCATAAAAATATAATTGGAGGAGACCTTCACATTGATTATTTTTTCCTTAAGTGGGAGAACACCAGGCAAATAACATAAGTTAATGGACAGTCCAGAAAGTTCCAGAGCCTGAACGCATCCATGTTGAAGACAATAATCTGAGCTCTAGGATTGACACAGCGCATTCACACATAATGTATGTTTTTCAAATGTGAAACATACTGTTCAGTAAAATTTCAGTATCAACGATTATTAAGCAGGGATCTCATTCTCATCACCATACTGTATTAGTTTGCTAAGACTACTATAACTAAATACCATAAGTTGGCTAGTTTGAACAATAGAAGTTTCTTTTTCCACTGTCTCAGAGACTAGAGGTCCAGGATCTAAGTTCCTGCAGGTTTTCTTGTAGGTCCATCCCCTTGCAGCTTGTCGGTGGCTACCTTGGACCTGTGTCCTCATATGGTCTTTTCTCAGTGCATGTGCATCTTTGGTGTCTTTGTGTCTAGACTTTCTGTTCTTGCTTGGAATCTAATCAGAGTGGATTAGAGTTCACCTGTGTAACCTCATTTGATCCTTAAATCAAAGCTCTTTAAAGCTCGTTTTTCCAATTTTGGTCACATTCTGAGGTGCCGAGGGTTAGCTCTTCAACATAAATATGCTTGCAAGGGGAACACAATTCAACCCTGACATCCCACCTTACCTTTCTTCTTAGGCCCCAACAAGAATGTCTGCTCTTTGTTTTTAACCCCTTCTTCTGAAAAGTAGGGGAAGAATGGGTATTCTTGCTTAAGGAAAAGAAGTCTTAGTATAAAAGCAAGTTATTGCTGAAAAGGTCCATCGGGGTACTGTTTAATCATAGGAAATTAGAATGTAACATTTTGAAAACGTGGATACAAAGCATTTGTAAATGGGGAGGACCAGAGGGGTTCAAGGGAGGGCAGGGAAATAGGAAAAAAAACAAGTTATATCATGTACAGGTACAAATGCTCTATGGGATATGTGATCATTATGTATATCTAAAATGTACCAATAAAATTTGATTGAAGAAAAGAAAGTAACATTGAAAGTGGAAATAGAAGTTTGCAGAAAGTAATGCTAAATGTCACATGCAAACATTTTTTGTCATTATTTTTTTGAAATTGTCTCTTACATAATACATAAATGCTCAAATGCTGAATTCTGGGAGAAAAAAACCTCAGTGTTTTATATTTACACTTTCCCATTGTAAAATATGGGCTTTTCCACTCTTGAGCATGATGTCTTTTTCTGCTAATAACGCTCTTAAGAGACGTAACTCTAAAACATATTTGACATGGTTTTAGACATTTACTTCAGGCAGAGTGTGAATGATAAGTAATATTTAAATAAAAATGTTTTTCTCCTGGTAGAAACATTTTCTGATAGCATTTTATATAATCATACATTTATATGATCATTCTGCAGAATGGCAAACACCAACAGCTCTCAGGCAGGCTACAAGATGTCCGACTCAGAAAGCAAACACAAAAGACCGAGCTGGAAGTTCTAGATAAACAATGCGACCTGGAAATTATGGAAATCAAGCAACTTCAGCAAGAACTTCAGGTAAGTCCTTTGCCACTAGTTGTCCTTAAACATGCAGTTTTTCAAGTTCTTCCTGCTAGGCTAATTGTACTTCGGCAATCATGAAGTACTCTAGTTCTGAAAACCTGTGATCCAAATGCACATAACCTTGTATATAATATCAGAAAGTCCATAGGCCTCCTATAGCTCTGCTAGATATTATGTTAAGTTCTGCTTGGTATTTATACATAAATGGACATTTATCATTGTGAGTTTTAACTCTAAAAATATATTTATATATTTGTTTTTGTCCATTCTTGTGACTGTCACAGACTACATTAGATGTGTAATTTATAAACAATAAACATTTATTGCATACAGTTTTGGAGGTTAGAAATATGAAGATCAAGGCACCAGCAGACTCAGTGTTGGGTGAGGGCTTGCTCTCTCCTTCAAAGATGGCTGCTACTTTTTGCATCTTCTCATGGTGGAAGGAGCGGGGCCCTAATCCCATTCATTAGGGAAGAGCCCTCGTGATTTAATCACCTCCTAAAGCCCTGCCTCTTAATACTTACACTAGGGATTAGGTGGCAACATGAATTTTAGGTGGACATCAACATTTGGAACATAGGACATATCAAAATAAAATTATTGCAAATTTTATGAAATTTCGAGAAAGTTATTTCCAGAATTATGTTGAGAAGTTGAATATGTCCCTCAGAGGCCTGGTAATTCTGCTCTTGTGCATTAGAGTCTGGCTCGATTATCATTCGCAGAATAGGGCCACTAGAAGCATGCTGCCTCTCTGGACTCCTCTTGCCCAGTTTCTCATACTGCCCAGGCTGATAATCTTTTCATTTTGTCACAGCAGACATAGACAAAAGCCAGGAGCATTTCCTGACCAATTTAAGTCTGCTTCCCTAGTTCTGTCTGAGTTTTCACTCCCTCTTTGATGTACAGATAGGCATTCCAGAGTGTTCTGGCCTGCTTACTGCACACACCAGAGATATCTCTTACCCTTTGCCCACTGTGTCCATTAGAACACTGAAATTATGAACCTCCAAACAGCCTACTCATAAAAGCTTTCTTTACTGCCTTTTAATTTCAGCCAGTTATTCATAAAGAGATGTTTAAATATTTGCTTTTTAAATCCTGCATACTTCCCCTTCGGGTTATTTATAAGTTGGAAACATTTTACAATTATCAGTTATTCTTCTACTAAGCTTCAAGAATGATTAACACTGCCTGGTGTGGTGGTGCACACGCCTGTCATCCCAGCACTCGAGGGGCTGAGGCAGGAGGATTGCCATGAGTTGAGGTCAGCCTGAACTACAAAGCGAGATTCTGCCTCAAAATTAAATAAATAAGTAAATTAATTATTAACATGTTCACAATGGGGCTATAATTTGAATGTCTTGCTGCCAGGGTGCTTGAACCAGTACATGTATGACTGTCTCATTGGGTGGATTTTTATTAATTTTATTAGTAAAAAGACAAGTAAAATGATTAGATCCATTTGCACCACCAGTGGTACAAGCTGCCTGATGTCACGCATGTGCCACCAGTGGTACAAGCCAGCAGACACACGTTAAATCATGTTTTAAAACTTTCCAAAACTTTCTTGGACGTTACAGTTTTAACCAGGTACTACTTTTCTTTTTATAAGGAATATCAAAATAAGCTCATTTATTTGGTACCTGAGAAGCAATTATTAAATGAAAGAATTAAAAACATGCAGTTGAACAACACACCTGGTAAGTTGAAGTTTTGTTTTTTCTCATTCTTTTCTGAATGCTATAGCAGTCATATTCAGTTAGTTTTGAAAAATAGCATTATTCTTTTATAAATAACTTTTGGGGACTATAAGTTAAAAATTTTGCAAAATAGTGTTAAAAATATCACAGATGTTAGAATATAAGTCATAATTGTACACTTTCCTCTGTCTTGATATTTATATTCTCAAATATCAGTCAAATACAACAGATATAGTTGTAATATGGTTTAATATAATTATTTCCATTGTGCAGCTCAGGAAAACTGAGGTTCAGAGAGATTAAGTAGTTCTTCAAGATGTATAAAAATTCATGTCTATTTTGTCTTCCACTTAGCTAACACTGCTTATATGAATCAGTTTGCTATTAAAATGTATATGCTAATTGTTATGAATAGAAGAGTAATATGCAACTATAAAAGTTGAATGATAGACATAAAAGATACCTGGGCTGGGGATGTAGCTCAGTGGCATAAGCGCCTGCCTGGCAAGCGCAAGGTCTTGAGTTTGATCCCTGGCACCGCAAAAAAAAAGAAAAGGCAAAGAAAAAGACATAAAATGTCTTTTTGGAGACATTTGTCTGAATGGAGATGTTTTAGTGAACTAACAATACTATAATGCAATAATAACTAGGCTAGCTTTCTAATTCATCCAGTATATTCATTTTTATTAAGGTTTCTTTCAGTGAAACTTGGAAAGATACTTCACAAATTCGTCTAGAAGAGAAAATGTGTAAGATTGGGCAAGACTTGAAAAGGAAAACATTAAGGTGGAGAGATCTGCTTTATCAGAAACCAGAATAAAAAATATGAAAGTTATAGTACCTCAGATAATGTGTACTGTACAAGAATAGAAAAATAGAACAATGAAACTGAATGAACATCTGCCAGATACAAATTGTTTGATGTTTGTATTTCAGATTCAGGGATCAGTTTACTTCATAAGAAATCAGTAGAAAAGGAAGAATTATGCCAAAGACTTAAAGAACAGTTAGATGCTCTCGAAAAAGAAACTGCATCTAAGCTGTCAGAAATGGATTCATTTAACAATCAACTGAAGGTATTGATTGTCTATTACATTCATTTCTAGGTAGCTGTCTTCTTATCTCCCTTATTTAATAGAAGGAATAACAAAGTTATTATTATTGTATTACATTGTCATAATTTCCAACTATACCTAAACTTTCAAGATTTTTAATGTTCTCTAAAACATTGTAAAAATCCTGTCATATTATTAAACATATCATTTACCACAGTTTTCGATTTTTCATGACTATGTGCTATTTGTATGGGCATTTCAAAAGCAGTTGCCTTTGTCAGAATTATACAACTGATGTCAGCTGATGTGATTGTAGGTAACAGTCTAAAATGGAAAACATGGCAATTTTAAATGGTGGTAGAGGCTCTCATACTGAAATTCTTTTTGTTCCTTTGTTATGATATAATTTAAGTAACTTTTATGACATAATGCAATAATCAGTAAAATCCAAAGCAGAATCTAATACCATAAATTTTTCATGAAAAATCAAGTTCATGATTCATTATTTGCTGCAGCAGTAGAGCAGATATCCAAAGTATACTGTGTGATTATCTTTCTTTGCAATGTTAGGTAAATACTGAAGCCATATCTATGTAAGGAGATAATAAAAGCTAAAAATAAGAGTAATTGTACATAATTCAACTTTGGGCATAGTCCCATTCGTTTGCCAATTTGGCATAAAGTTTTTAGTGCATACGCTGTTACATAGCATTTCTATAAGAAAATTGTTTTTTTTTCTTGCTAATTTAGAATAACCCTAACAGCAACTATAGAGTAAATACCTTGATAAAGAAAAGACAACATGATGGCTTCAGTTTAAGAGGAGGGAAAGTGAGGTGGAAATGTTGATAATATCCCATTACCTAAGCATCAACTAGTCACTGATGGTCAGACAAGCCAGCCAAGATATTCTCCCTACTTTTTTTAATCTGTACATAGATTAACTGGCTTTTTATCTGCCTTATCTTACAGTGTGGGAATATGGATGACTCTGTTCTTCAGTGCCTTTTGTCTCTGCTAAGCTGTCTCAACAACCTCTTCCTCTTACTTAAGGTTATTTTCTAATATCTAGATCCTTTGTTTGAGTTACTTTGCTATTTTCTTTTCTTTTTTTTAAACTAGATTATTCTTTGCCTTTATCTGAATATCTTTGTTTGAAATAACATATACAATAAAGACTTTTTGCTTTCTGCTTGCTTAAATATCCTTCTGCTGTCTAACTGCCTGTTTGAATCTAATGCAAGAAATTGGGAAGGTTGCCCTCAGTAACCTTTCTTATGAGGAGCCTAGTGGTTTCCCTGTCAAGCATATCCAACCCGTGGCCTACCTTTTTTCTTCCTTCCTTTCTTTTGGCCCTTGTTTATTTAAATGTTAATAAAAATAATAAAAAATATTTTTACAAAGATAGTTTTGTTACTTACATACATTTATATATATTTTACATGGCTCAAGATAATTCTTCATTCAATAAAAGAAGGCCAAAAAATGGCATACCTCAGGTTGGACATGTCCATGTCCTATTAGATTAGCTAATGGGATGACTACTAATTCAAGTTAAAAGAAACTAAGAGAAAATGAGATTAAATCACTTACCACATCATTGAAAACCATTCTGTAAACTCATGGTTTCTGAACTTTATGGCAGGGCTGTGTCATGTTTGCCTCAGGCTACATCCTAATTCCACCTAAGGAATTTTTAAAGAGCCAGTAGTACAGAGACAGCTCTAGTTAGGGCTGTTACTGGGCCTTGTATTTAGATGTGCTTGAACGTCAGGTAAAATATTTCAGTGACTGCATTTCAAACTGTCACTTTGCCAAGGAAAATACCCAGAGTATTTAAATACTCAGTAAATTATTACTTTAATACAGTTTAAAGAAAGGTGCTTTATATTTATCACTTGTTTGCCCATACATACTTTGACCACACATTCTACTTCATACTAAAATGGATGACAGTGGGCAGTTTCACAGTGAACACGTAAGTATAGCGCCTGTGTTACGTAAGCAAAGGTAGGGCAGATTAGAAAGGTGGCAGCAGCATGGGTCCCATAGTTAACCTGTATGTATTGGCTACAGATCGAACAGAAACTTAAACCTAAGTTTCTTCGCCTGTAAAATGAGCTTCAGTGATAATTTGTGGTCTGTATTCACTTATGTATTCTGTTTTTCTCAGTTAGCATTTGATTCTCTACAGGCCAGCAGATTATTCTTGTCTCTCGTTTTACTTACTTTCTTCTGCTTCCTGCCTTCTCGTCTTTCACTGTTTGCTGGCACTTTCGTCAGAGGCAATTAGGAAACTAAAGTATGTGAAATCCACTCTGTCAGAGTGGTCAGCCAGCTTGACTATGTGGTCACAGGAAGAAAGAAAAGGGGCTGTTAGAGGCAGAAAAATGATGCAGGATGATCAGTTCATGTAGTACTGGAAAATGCCCACTCACTTTGTCAACAGGGACACCTTTGAAGGTGTCCAAAGGAAAAAGACAGTACTAAGCAGAAGCTGGACTGCAGTGGATCTGCAAGAGGGGGAGTCGCACAGGGGTTCAGTGAGCATAAACAACCTGAGGAGAGTGAAAAGAGCATGGGTTGAAGGAAAAAATTGGGGTGGAGGCCTTAAGAAAGACTTAAAGGAGGCAATAAAGAGATGAAAGGAAGAAGAGAAAAAGAGAAATGGAGGTAGAATATAAGAACCGGTGGTAATTGATAAAGCACAATCCCTGGGGAAATGTTAAGATAGAAATAAACATAGTTTTGGAGCATAGATTGTAGGACCACATAAGAAATAATACTTCCAGCATGATGTAGAAAAAAGACAGATGTGAATGCTGTTCAATTTGTTGTTGAAAACTAAGAAGTTGACTGCTTTAAGACTTGAAATCAGAAGTAAATTGGACTATCAAGGAATTGGGGGGTTGCGTGGAGTAACTGAGGTACAGGATGTTTTACTGATTTTGAAATGGAATAATAGAGTTCCAGCCTGGTGGTTAAGGCAAAGTTTTTAGCTGGTAGTGAGGAGAACCGGTGAAAGATTAGGGAATTTCAGGGGGAGGAAGTAGGCATGAAACACATCTTAATGTGGATAGGGGTTGCAAGCTTGGTAAAGTTAAACTGTGTCAAACAGTGTTAGAGACCTGTTTGAAGGTGGAGTTTGTAAATTTAAACTGAAGACAGCATGCCTAAGTATATGACATTTCTCACCAATGTTCGTCCACTTAGGTGTAAGCACAGACATCGCTGATGAAAGTTTCATGGGTTCATCTAGCCTTGGCTTTTAGTAAGACGTGGGCCAATCAGGAGGGACAACAGAGTTAAGATTTTAGCATAAGAATTATCCTCAAAGTGAATTCTGAAATGTAATGTAGATGTGAAGGGATGTGAGGAGAGGAAGGGGGTGCTTGTCATTTAGAAAGAATGATGAGATCAGCAGAGTGGGGGGTCACAGGGAGGATGAAAAATGGTTGAAAATTCATGTGAAAATTCAGTTGCTAGCAGTGAAGTGCAGTGAAAAAATACTGGCTTAGGAATCTGGAAAAATGAGTTCTAGTACCGTTCACATCACTTGCTAGTTTTGTAACTTCATCATTTACCCTCCAAATTTCGTTTTCAACATTTATAGAATAAAGCTGACAAAATCTGCCTTGTCTTTAAAGACTCTTACGATGAGTGAATATATATACATAGACATATGTATATACATGTGCGTGTGTGTGTGTATGCTTTGTGAACTTTTATATGCTGCACAGATACAGTATTTTTACTACTCTTATTAGGGAAGAAATTGTCCAGAATCTCCAAAATATCTTTAGTGTGTTGGGAAGTTATCACTATTTAATTTGACTAATGACTGGAAAAGGGCTTTTGTGTGGAAGGAAAATAGAATTTGTAACCAACAGAACTGTGACACCTCCAGGGAGTTAGGTCTTTATCCTGTGCTCCCAAGGACCTATAGTAACCGATGTTAGTGATGCTCTTCCAGGTGGCAAAGTGAGACTTTGATTTATGCAAGTATAATAAAGCTAAGTGATTTTGGCAATAAGCAACATGAGTCCTTTGGATTGTAAGTAAAAACTTAATGAGCCTTGGTTAGATGTTAGAAAAAAATTTCCCAAGCCCATAATACAGTAAGTCCCCAAATTACAAACGAGTTCCATTCCAGGAAAATTGTTCCTAAGTCAGATTCATTCATAAGCTGGCAGAGTGAGTCTTTTATATAGTACACCATACAGTACACCTGTGAAAGTTTGCAACTTGAATGATCATAAATCGGGAACTTACTGTATAAAGATTAATGAAATGTATTCTTCTTTCCTTTAGACAATTTCAGGCCTGCCTTTGGAACCTCTTTTCTCCCAGTAAAGTCTAATACTAAAAGGAAGTATTTGCCTAACAGCTGCTGCATGAGGCATAGGATAGAAAGAAATACTAGTTTCTACAGCAGATCTGAACCATTTTTATGCCATGGACTTTGCAACAACTTAGTGGTTTCCAGACCCCTTCTCAGAATAATATTTTAAATTCATAAACTGAAATATAGTATATAGCTATTTAATAATTGTGAACCAAGTTCACAATTATTTAGTCACTCGGTGAGATCCTGCCTCAAAACAAAAAATAAACCCCAGCACTAGGGAGGCTGAGGCAGGACGAATTTGAGGCCATGAGTTCGAGGCCAGCCCGGGCTCCATAGTGAGTGCAAGGCCAGCCTGAACTACATAGCGAACCCTGTCTCAAAAAAAAAAAAAAAATTACAAGAGCCATGAACTAGTTTTAAAAGTAATAAATTTATATCTGTGCTTCTCATTAATGAATTTAATAAAAAATCTAGTGATATACCATTTTGAAGTCAAGATAATATGTATATATCAAGGTATCTGTAAAATATGAGAAGATATCTCTGATTTCTGCTGGTTAAACATGTCACAAGTGCAGCTAATCTTACTGTGGTTTGTTACACTTCAAATTGAAGAAAGTGCTATGTTTCAGGTAGACATTAGTGGAAGTGAAGATTAATTGTGCTTCCTTCGAGTTCATGGACCTCTGAATTCTGTGTAAAAAAATAACAAAAACCTTGGAATGTCTTGTAGCCCTCAGGATAAGGTCTGCTGCTCTAGCGTGAAGGCATGGTGGTGATTGGATTGCTGATCTTGTCTGCTTTTTCTGTCAGTTATAGAGTTCGGTATGATAAAATTTTCCACTTTGATTATGGATTTGTCTTTTCATATGGATTCACTGTTGTTGTTTGTGGTACTGGGGATTGAATGCAGGGCCTTCATACTGAGCTACTTCCCCAACCCTTTTTTATTTTTTGTTTTGAGGCAGGATCTCACCAAGTGACTAAATAGCCCAAGCTGGGCTTGAGTTTGTTGTCCTCTCCTACCTCTGCCTCCCACAGTGCTGGGTTATAGATGTGTGCCACCGTGCCCACTGAGGTTTTCTCTTTATAAATTTTGATACTGTGTTGCTTGATGTGTACAAATTTACCTGGTAGGTAGACCCATTTATTGTTACGATATGTTCCTCAAGAAATGCCTCTTACCTTAAGGACTTCTTTTTCTGATAGTAGTTTAGCTGGACCAGCTCTCTTAGTTAGAGTTAGCATAGCATATCTTTTTTCTATATCTTTTATAGCCTGTTTGTGTTTTTACATTTAAATTATGTCTTAAATAACAAATAGAATTTCTAAGATTCAAACATATCTTTAATTGGTATTGTCTGTTTACCTTCTATATAAATCTGGCCTTAAAGCTGCCATTTTTCTGTTTGTTATCTATTTGTCTCACCTATTTTGTGTTCCTTTTTCTTATTTTGCCTTCTTTGAGACCAAGTGTATATTTTTTGTTTTGGGTTTTTTTTTTTTTAACTCTTTTCCTCCTTTGTAGCTTGTTAATTATAACTTCTACTTTTTTGTTAATGGGTATCCTACAGATTACAATATGCATCCTTGATTTACTTGAGACTAATATAAATTAATAATTTTACTACTTCCTAGATAATGCCAAGATCTCAAGATACCTTAACTGCATTTATTATCACATACCGCCCACATTCATTCACTTACATTATGTGTTCTAAGCTCCATAAGCAATTTTTGTTACTATTTTATACTGTTAGTGTTCATTAAGATATACCATGTATTTATCTAGATTTCTGTTGGTCTTTCTTTCCTGTATCTTCATGCTTCATCTCCAATTACTTTTTTTTTTTTTAGATTAGGCAGAATATTTTAATGATCAGATATTCTGATAGCTGCAAGGTGAGACTGTTCTACTAGCTGACAAATCACTTAAAGGACGTGAGATTCATTCTTGAGATAAAGAGGTATTAGGGAATGGCAAAAGTGAGTTGTAAAAGAATCATGGGGGTACTAATGTTATTTCCAGATTAGTTATTTCCATATTGTCTCAGCCAGTGTTTATTATAGAAACAGATTTAATGCAAGATGTACAAATATTTAAAAATTTACAAAATTGGCTTACAGTGGCCCCCCACAGAGTTAACTGTGGAAGAGTGCAGAAGGTCTGTCTACATGATGGAGATCTGAAGCATCCAGTCAAGGCCCAGAGCTCACTGTAGTGTCCCAGAGTGTGTATCAGGAGGCCAAATGGTTTGCGATGGAAGGCTGAAGGTTCTGTGCTGGAAGCCAGGAGACAGTGTCCAAGCTGACAGCAAAGACGTGCTCCTCTGAGGAAGCAGAAGCAAGCCTTCCTTCGTTTCCCTTTTATACCATTTAGGCTCCCAGCCCATTGGTTGGTGTCACTCATACAAATCCCAGCAAATCAGTAAATCCCCTCAGCCACACCCTGAGCTATGTTAATCCAATAAGTTGGGTGTTTCTTACTCAAATTGGCACAGTCAGTTAACTATCACACCTCGTATTTCATCCAATTCCTTTTCATCTGCCCAAAAAATGCCCTTTACTGTTTAACATGTTTCCTTTGAAAGCAGCTTTGTTAGTGATGGATTCTGGCTTATTTTTTTCCCATAAATATCTCCATCTTACTTTTATTTGTGAAAAATATTTCAATATGTTATAGAATTTTAGGCTGGTTTTCCTTGAGTAATTAGAAAGCATTGTGTTTTGGCTTCCGTGCTTTTATATTATGAAATTAGCTATTAGTGTTCAGGGAATTTAACCCTTTCTTCTTTGGTTGCTTTTAACCATTTCTGTGATCTTTGGTTTCTAGTATTTTTCTCTATGTGTCATAGGGATCATGAGCTTCTGTGAGATTCTATTTTCATTACCTTAACTTACATTTGTCTGTCTTTCAACTATTACTAAACATGGTGAAATAATCCCATGGAGAATTCTTTATCCCAGATCTTTCCACTGAGACATCATCATTGTGGCCTTATCTTCAGTGACCATCACTGTGAAGATTCCTCACACAAGCAAGCTTAGAGATGGCTTATCAAAGTCAGGGAGAAACTGTGGAGGCAGATGACCCATTTGTTCTAACAGGCTCAGAGGGAGCGGGCATGCAGGGTTATCGTCCTCACTGAGACTGATACTTATACTCTCTGCTATTTGCCTCACGGTCACTTTCTTTTTTAATGGAAAGGAATCACTGTTTATTTTAAATTCCTTTGAGTATTTAATCTTAAAATGTTTTCCCAACCAATAAATAACAAAACAGCTGTTTTGAAACAAAATAGCTGTTTCAGTAATTTAGTTATTTAATTCAACTGAAAGTATAGAATCCATGGTATAGGGTTGAATAATATAGTGGAAGTAGTTCAGAACTACAGGATTTCAACCAAGTCATTTAATCTTCTGAGCCTCAGAAATGGTCATGGTAAAAAAAAAGAAAAGAAATGGTCCTGATAATATCTATTTTACAAGATTGATATATTATCAAATTGTTCATTTGTTCAATTTGAACCACTACTTTGCATTCTATGACTTTTTCAGTGACTGATAAGAATTTTTGTCTTAGTTACATTGCTTTAAGCAGAGTTACATGAGCAGTAAAATACAGTTGTTTAAATTTTAAAAATTATTACAATAAAAGATACATTGCCATCCATCCCCCCCCAAAGTACTCCCCTCACTTTAAACACGTGTATCCATTTTTCTTGCTACTTTGTGAAGGGACGCTGTTCTGGAAGGCCTTTATCATGAGTGTCGTTCATGGTGCTGTCACAGCTTCCTTGATGTCTTGAATCAGTTCAAAATGTTTCCATTTCATCAGGGTCATTTTAACTTTGGAGAAGAGCCAAAATTTGCACACAAGTATGAAAACTTAGATGAAATGAAAAAAAAATTCTACCCAAATACTGTCTAGCTCCCACCTTTGTCATGAAATTTCTCTTGATTACTTTAGATTTTTTGTTTTGTTTTTTTTTCCTCTCCTCCAGTCTCTTTTTCCTACTCCTTTATTCAGGATTCTGTAGATTCCAAGTGAAAGAAATCCAATGCAAAATAGTTAAGCTGACAAGTAGTTATTGGTGGAATGTAGGAGTGATGACTAGATGGGCAGAAGAGCCACTGAACAGGGGCAGTTCCTGGGACCCTGAGCTGTAGAGCTAAAGATTCACTTCCCCTAGTCCAAGTCCTGGGGCTAAAGATTCAGCGCTAGTCGGGCTGTTTGTATCACTAAAACTTTAAAAGGTTTGCCATTACTGGCCTGGTGCCTGCCCCCACTTTCACCCCTCCCTCAAATCCTTGCTTCTCACTTCGCTGTGTTGACTTCATTCCTGCCACTCATGGTCTGACTTCGTAGTAAGGCAGCTCTGGGTTTACTTTATCCCAGTTTAATGAGTTTAGAGAAAGAAAAGTTTCTTTCTCCAGGGCCTGCTCGGTAGATATGAATCTCCAGGCCCAGCATAGGGATCACCCCTGAGTGGGGATGTGAGGAGTACTGAGTTTGACAGGCCCACCAGAGCTACAGAGGATGGTGGGGAGATGAGCTTCCCACAGGAAGGAAGGGTGTTGGAAGAAAAGGATAGAAAGCAGCAAACATAAACTCAGGTGTCTGGTAAGGCACTTGTCTTTATCCTGCACTTGGGCACTTGCAGATTCTGAATTCTTTGAAGCCAGAGACTGTAGAGTTAGGAGTCAGTCAGCTTGAAATTGAATCCTGGAATTCTTTTGAATTCTTTATAGCACCTTGCACACAACTAGATGTTAAATAAGTAATTGTTTATTTCAGTTCCGGTTTGGAATTTAGTACTTTTCATTATTGTGTTTTATTTTAGTCATAGTTTTAGGTAGATGTTATCTTTTCTATTTTTAGTTTTAGAATAAATTGTTTAATAATTGCTTGTGTTTAGTTCAAGATCTTAATGGACACAGTTGGTTGAACTATATATATAAAAATGATGGAACAAAATTCCTCTCTAAATGTTATTAGAAGCAAATATTCTCCTGTACTTAAATGAATTACTTTTAAATTGTAAGTGCCATTTCAAATTAAAGAATTGATTTGTTGAAGATTCTGTGTTCCTGAGAAATGAAGTAGTATGAAAGCATTTTTTACATATTTTACATTTTAACATATTTGTTGGAGTACCTGCTTGGCTTAAAGACTTGTATTCAAGATTTTGTCATCTAGATTTTTTTAAAAAAATGTTAAATCTTCAACTGTCTTTAGGACTTTTGTTATTTAATGTGACTGTCACATTAGATAAGATGAGGATATTTAAATCATTCAAGTATTGACTTACTTGCATTTTATCCTTAGGAACTGAGAGAAAGCTACAATACACAGCAGCTAGCCCTTGAACAGCTTCATAAGATCAAACATGACAAATTGAAGGAAATTGAAAGAAAAAGATTAGAGCTAATACAAAAAAAGAAGCTAGAAGATGAGGCTACAAGGTAATACAACTGATAAATTTTTTATACTTTATTGCTAGTAGGATTCTAATTTTGTTGCCTGTATCTTTAACTATGAGAATTTAAGGGAAATAAAAAATTTGCTAGGATGCCAATCATACTCTAAATTTTGTAAATTTAGACCTCCTTTTCAGTTATGAACTTTATGTTTCACTAATAAAAAATACAGACTTTGGGGGCTGGGGATTTAGCTCAGCGGCACAGAGCCTGCCTGGCAAGCGTGACATCATGAGTTGGATTCCCGGTACCAGAAAAAAAAAAAAAATGCAGACCTTGGAGTGAGTCCTAAATTAGAATTCTTCATCTACCACTTACTACCTGAGTATCATTGTTAAGTCACTTTACCCTTCCGAACCTCAGTTTCCCTACCTGAAAAAAGACACTAATGCATACAGTTCTAACAGGTGAACATTAAATAAACAAATATACAGCATAGTATAATATCTTGTATATATTAAGCACTCATTAGTTCTGTCTTCCCATAGTAAATCTGTTACTTATCTCGAAAGATCATAAAAACCAAATACTTAATCTTATAGAAAAAGATTGTGTGTCAAATGCTATATTGATGCAGTTCTTTGTATGTTACTAAGATGCAGTATATTGTTTGTCTCTATCTATAGCAGGTTCTTGAGAAGTAAAATACTTGTAATATCTAAAGCCTAAAACTATTCCTTTAGTGACTTTGCATGATTTTTTTTCTGCCAGTAAGATCCTCTTTTTTTGGCCAAATGTGGCACACACTTGTAATCTTAGCACACTAGGAGGCTAAGACAGGAGGATCCTAAGTTCAAGCCCAGCTTGGGCAACCTAGCAAGACCCTGTATCAAAATTAAAATAATTAAAAGGGGTTGGAGATATAGCTCAGTGTAGAGGCCCTGGGCTCAGTCCCCAGTACTGAAAAAAATCCTCTTCTAATATAGCCCTCTGTTTCTCCCTTACCTGGTGTCAGAAATTGATATACTTAGTTAACAAATATCAGTGACCCAGTATTCCTCTGCTTTGGTGAAGAGTAGATGAGTAATGTCCATGAAAGAGCTAGTAGTTATGAGGAGGCAAGAAAAACAGTCTACTAGTTTTACAGGCTACATTCTGTTGTTGTTTTTGAGACAGGGTCTCCCCATGGGGCCCAAGCTGGTCTCAAACTTGTAGCAGTCCTCCTGCTTCCCAAACACGGGGTTTCCAGGTGTGCACCAGTATGCCCACCAAGGTTTCATTCTTAATGATTTCTTTTTTTTTTTTTTTTGGTACCTGAAATCAAACTCAGGACCTCACACTTGCCATCTCCCTGGATGTTAATGATTTTGGAAAAGCCACTTCCAACACATTTTTATTGGCAGTGTTGCAAATAAACCCTGGATTGCTCCTGGTTTCTGGATTGCTCATAATTATAGTAGGGGAGTCAGACAGTTAAACAAGTAGCTTGAATACTGTTTACTCAAAAATCCCTACTTTTTGTGGCTTCCTAGCCAGAAATAATAGAATACTATAGAAATAGAGACAGTAGAATTCATCATTTGCCACTTAACGTTGCACAAGGGAATTTTGCAGTGGTTACACACCTAGAATTTTGTGCTGACATACAATTATATTGGTAACTCTTCCTTTCACTCACAAGTCCCTTTAGGCCAACAGACCATATCAGTAATACACATTTTCATTTAGTTCATCATCCTTCCATGTTATCTTACTACCATGGAAGGAAGAAATCAAAGAGAACAGCAGTATGTGTAGGTTCTAATCAGTCCAGAGCTGAGTGTTAGTACTGCATCTTAGTTCAGTGGCTGTTTCACTCAGGTTCATTCCCTTCTTGTCCCAAGTTACTGGTAATAGGCTTTGCATTGTAGATATGGCCTCTTTTGTCCAACTTCTGAGGTATCTTCTGGCACAGAGCCAGTTACTTATCCACTAGTTCTTGCTTAAGAAAGTTTACCAGAATTCAATGACCACTCTGGTGTTTTCTTTGTCCCACTAATAGATGGTAGACATTCTGATAGTGGTGTTTATAATGCTATATGAGGCTAAGACAGTCTTTAGAAGCTTGGAAGGGTGTTAGGGAAAGTACAGAGAAACCAGAAAGTCAGCTGAAGGTAAGGACTACAAGAAACACTGAGTCCTCCAGGAAGACCTGGATTTCAGTTATGGAAAGCTCTTAGAGAAAGCGTCCTGTGATGAAAAAGAGGGTACAGGAGGATTTGGAGAGGGCTGAAGGAAACTGGTGGGGGCGTCAGGAAGGTA